ATCTGTAGTTTCTTTAAATGATTATTAGCACACATCACTCACACAGATGAACAAACATATGTAAGAACCCTATCAAACAGAGTACACGCAGATGTATCTGGAGCTATTGTTACTCTTTTTTTTCTCATTGTGCCTGTTCTTTTTAAAGAAGGGGGACATGAAAGAGGCCTTTCTTTTTAATCCCTAGAGTCTAACTGGAGTGTAAAAAGCTAATTTCTCTAATAAATCTTAATGAGAGCTCACTTTATCCTTTTTCCTGCCCTTGAACACCTGCCCTTCCTTTACCTTTTAAAAAATGTAGTGTATTCTTTCTTTCATTGTAATATGTGTCTAGCATCTAGAGCAGAATATAACCAATTATAAGACAAAATGATTTTTCTCCAAATGGACCAGCCATAGTCTTTACCCTATTTACTTAAGAATTCTATTTTATTTAGAAAATATTAACTTAAATATCAGTTTTTGTCTATTTTAACATTTAAAGTAGTGTTATAAGGATACTAGATGTGTTCTTCATACACATTTAAGTTGTTCTCTTCTCTTGAACAAGAGTCACACAGGAGCTGCTCTACTCTGTAGTGCTGACAAAGTTCACTGCGCACATGTGTCCTTTCCTAGCTCTAGAAGTCAATGTTTGATTTATTTTGTCTCTAAATTGCCAGTCATCTCAGCACACACTGAACCTCTGCAGAGCAGTGTGTTGAGGAGAAGCCAGCACGGTACCTGGGAAGTGGGCTTCTGCAGTCCTGGTGCTGCAGCTCTGCCGAGCTGGCTGTGGACTCTGTCTGTGGGAAGCTACTAGTGTGGCCGTGTGAAATGAGTCACTGGCTCAACTTAAAGACTACTCTTGAGGAACTCATACAAAGGGGACATGAGGTGACAGGTTTTTTTCCCATTAAGTTTATTGGTACATTTAAAGCAAACAATACAGTTACATTTGTCATTGGGATCCTGTACCTTTACATGATATATCTTGGTTCTTGTTTTTCCCATAACCCTCCCTTCCCTTCATCCGCTTCACCTTTCCCTGCACATATCACTGTGGTATGATTCTTCAAAGGAATTAAAAGGATCATACCACAGCAATATATGTGCACCCATGATTATAGTGGCACAGCTCGTAATAGATAAAACTTGGAAACAACCTAAATGCCCATCAGTTGGAGACTGGATAAAGAAGATGGATTTTTCTGTAAAATAGAGTATTACTCAGCCATAAAGAATGAGAAACTAGAAACATTTATAGCTAAATGGATGCACACTGAGCCTATAATCTTAAGTGAAATAAAGAAGTGACAGCTTCGATTCCTTCAAACAGTATTTTCATTGACTACAACAAGCCTTCTGTGTTGAAGTGATCTCTGTACCACTTGAAAAATTAAGTCTGAGAATGTGCTAAATGAGTTTATAGAACTAGCTGTGAATGTCATGCCAACCATGCCACTCTGGCAATCAGCAGCAACACTGCAAAATGTCTTTCTTAGTGCAACTGAAGATTTGAGACATCACAGTATGAATACAGTCCACAACCAGTCATCACGAAGAAGCTCTGGGAAATCAAGTATGATGTGTGGCTTACGGACCCTGTGGTGATTTACGGAGAGCTAGTGGCTGAGATACTTGAAGTCCCTTTCCTGAACACCCGCTGAAGTTCTCCATGGGCTAAGCCATAGAGAAATACTGCGGGCAGTTTCCAGTTCCACCCTCTATGTGCCTGCTCTCCTGGGGGACTCCAACCAGAATGACATTTCTGGAAAGGGTGCAAAATACAATTTTTTTCTTTTTGTTTGACTTCTTACTCCAGCAGTATGACTTCGAATTGGGGGATGAGTTTTACAGCATGGCATTAGGTAAGAAACCCTACTTTTTATAATGAGCTACTTTTCAGCATTACTTTTGGGAGCTGAAGAAAGCCTAGAGAAATAAAAAAAGATATTTGTGAACCTTTTTTTGTAAAACTACAAGTGATGATAATAATGACTTTATTAGCATAATTAGGAAAAAAAGACAAGAATTATTTTGTCATGTGTACTCTTTTTATATAATCACTAAATACTTTGTAACATACCTCAAAACTTTACAGATTATTTTTAAAAGAAGACAAACAAAAATCATACACAAATACAGGTTAATCCAGTAGAAGATATCATTTTTGTTGGATATAGGACAGCAAATACTTCTAGTACAATGAAATTCCTTTCCTAGGACATGCAACTTCTTACTGGTTAAAAATTATGTAAGATATAAGAATTTTTAAAATGTCTTGGTCTATTTCAGTGATTAGCTGACATAAACTATTTTGAGAATTGTGTTATTTTATGATACAGTTTATTTGATCTGAGCTTTGTTTCATTCATTTCAAAGAGTCACTGATTATTAGTATCTAATTAATTCCATTTTCCTCTCATAGCAAGTAAGATTTTATGTGTCCATTCTTTAACATTTGCTACATAACAAAGCATCACTAGATGAATAGAAAGATAGTAGGTAGATTAATAATAGCTTTCCTAGCTCTTCTTTGCTTGGATATATATTTTTTTCTTATTTAACTGTAGTAGTTTATAAAATACAATTAAACTAACAAGCATTTAATACATACCTTTGACTTTTCTCGTGCTGATGAGAATATTCACAATATTTCAAGATGAAATATTTATTTTTTAATTTTGTTGCTTCTTTTGTTAGTAAGAGAGCTTTTTTGTTCATTTCTAATTTACTAATACCATGTAAAATATGGAGTAAATACCACTAAAATTATCCAAAAATATTGAATATTTTATTGTTTTAAATGACCATAGCATTTTTCTTTTTCTTATTAAGGTAAACCATTTAATTTAATTGTTTTAAATTAAATTTTTATTTTTTCTTATTCTTATAACAAATCTAACTTTTTCATATCTTTTATAAAATATTACTAAATTCAGTTAACTAATAACTTCGGGGGAAATGACATCTTTTTGTAGTAAAATTGATTTTTCATTTTTCCTTGTATTTTAATAATAGCTTTTTCACAATTTTATCACCTATTTAAATTTTATTAGCTTTAAACATTTTTTTTCCTTCTTCTGGTGCGAATGTTAAACATTTAAATTTATGTATCCCTTCAGAATGCATTGGAATTACCAGGGATTTAGTGCAGTGGTTCTGCAGCCTTCTTCACATGCATAAGGTCCCGAATTTGATCCCTAATATCAAAAAAAAAAAAAAAAAAAAAAAAGAAAAAAAGAAAGAAAGAAAAAAAAAAAGACTCTTTTTATTTTCAGGGGGGGATTCTATAAGTTGTTCATGTGAAACTATTTATTTGACTTTCTCAAAAAATGAAATGGCTTTAATTACTATTTGAATCCAAATAATTACATATGCATTTCCCTGTGATCTGGCTCCCATATTCTTTTTTTTGTTTGTTTTTGTTTTGTTTTTTTGGTTTTTTGAGACAGGGTCTCACTACGTAGTTGAGACTGACCTGGAACTCACTATGTAGCCCAGGCAGGTCTTGAACTCACAGCGATCCTCCTGTCTCAGCCTCCCGAGTGCTGGGATTACAGGAGTGCGCCACCACGCCCAGCTCTGGCTCCCATATTCAACCCACCTATAAATTCACCTGTGCAGTTTATATTGCCATTTGGATATTTAGCTGTGTTTAAAATTTTCTTATCTGACCCCAAACCTATCCTGGAGGTATTTCTTATTTTATTCAGTGGAACTCAATTTTTCCAGCAACTAAGGTAATAAATACTTGATCATTGTTTATCCAACTGTTTTTCTCACAGTACATAAACTATTTCACAGGAAATTCAGTTTTACCCTCAAATATTTGTAGAATGTGCCCATATCATTAATATCAGCGATTGTGAACTAGTGCTTTAAATATGAAATTTTAATGAATACTTTAAACAAGAACATTCTTAAAATTTCACTTAAAGTTTATGCACATAAAATGTACAGAAAGCATTAGCAATCAAGGCAGGAAGTGGCACACTTGAAATAAGGTTTCTGAATGGCATGAGTGATTTACTGTGGAAATATAAGGTGGATTTCTTCATTCAATCTTTTATAATTTCAAGCTAAGTATTGGTGGGCAACACTTCTTAGTTATCAAGTTAATGTATTAGACTGTGTAAATTTACACATATATTCAAGAATTATTAAGTGATGAGTGCAAGAAAAGGCCATCTGTCCTTACTGTATATGATCATCAGCATTCCTAACACAACCACAAGGAAGAAAGGATTCTTGTTTGAAGTTTTCTTTTTTTAGTTTGGAAAATTTTTTTTAAGTATAGGAATAGTTCCTTTTATTACTTACAAACACACATTCTTCTTCTCAGAACTGTGAAACTAATACCCAGGATGTGTCCTTTTCAAAAACATGGATTAACAGTAACAGTGAGGATGTAATATTAGTGATGTCTCTGCATGCATCTCATATTCCCAAGGGGCTCACACTGGCTCTGAATTAGAGAAGCAATTCTTATTCTTACTGAGAAAATCATGACAAATCAGTCTAGGAGATGAGATTTGACTCAAGAAAACATGGTGGACTGCGTTTGGTTAGATCCTTCCATGCTGTGTGTGATCACAGAGAGCCAAAGCTGTAAGCGAATGCATGCTCCTGAATGGAGACTGAAAAGTCCATGAGAGGTGACTTGTGGCTTATGTGACGGAGCTAATCTAGTCTCTGCCATTTAATTAGAGAGGAATATGTAGTGTTAAACTTTTCAGTAGCTGTAGTTGTAGGTGTAAGTGTAGGAAGTGTTACTATTATTAAATTATGCATATTTTTCTTTCACTGCCCTTAATCCTGTCCTTCTCCTTCTTTGGCCACATCCCATCCTCCCTCTCCCACTCTTCTTGCTCTCCTTCTCCTCCAACATTTTAATATTTAATTATTCTAGAAGACCTAATTTTTTCTCTGTAATGGCTTACAATGAAATTATTTCTAATTGTTTCCCTCAGTAACTATGTGTGCTAATTTTCTCCATCCAAATTTCATTTTCTCAGGCAAACCCACTACATTATGTGAGACTATGAGCAAAGCCGAAATTTGGCTAATGCGGACATACTGGGATTTTGAATTTCCTCGCCCGTTCTTGCCTAATTTTGAGTTTGTTGGAGGACTGCACTGCAAACCTGCCAAACCTTTACCTAAAGTAAGTCTCTGATGATGCACAATGTTTTCCATACCTTATAGTACTTAATCTTTTCTTCGAAATTTGAGGCTTCAACATTTTAATCATGTCACTCCAAATTTATTTCTCTCATCATGGTGGTTTTTTATAAATGATATTGGGACTTTCTCCATTTGGGGTGAAAGATGAAATGATTCAAGTGATGTGCTAAACATATCTGTGTATATAGTGTGGATATTGGAGTGGAGAGACGGGAAGCCAGTCATGGAGATCACTAAGGAGACTATTATCATCTTCCTTAGAAGCTTGATAGAGTCAAAAACAGGGTTAATTAACAAAGTGTTTAATAGACAAAGATACTTTCATGAGAATTCTTGGTGAATTGCAAGGATTTTGAGAAGTAAGAGGAAATAAGCCTTGATGGAAAACACCAGATCTGACAGTGTTCCTAGATTTTAACTTTAGGACATTATTTGCATAGTACTGACCTTTACTTTCTTAGGAAACAGTTAGTGAAAAAATACCTGGAGTTGAGGGTGATAAGTACAGATTTACTTCTAGGAGCCAAAGGGATTGTTAGGTGATGCCTAGAAAGACTGGGCACTAAATGACCTCAGGGTCCACAGACAGCACTATAAAAATAATGAAATCATCACATTGAGAGAATCAGTTGTTAAGTGGATTATGATGATTATGATGTCAGATTTTTTGGAGTGAAAAACAAAAAGTGTATAAAATGTCTAAAGGTATTCAATTAATAGCAGGGTCAGAAATGTTGAGCAGGAAAACAAAAGAAATGTTGAGCAGAGCAGTATTGGTAAGCAAAAGAAAGTGACAGAGTAAAACACGGTAAGAACATTGCATTAATTATTAGTAGGGATGGAGAAAAATACTCATTTATTTGGTTTTCCAATCAATGAGTATAATTTCTTTCTTTCTTTTCTTTTTCTTTTTCTTTTTTTTTTTTTTTTTTTTTTTTTTTAAATCCTCCTGCCTCAGCCTCCTGAGTGCTGGGATTACAAGCATGCACCACCATGCCTGGCTTCAATGAGTATAATTCCTTTAGAAGGTTGAAGGTTAAAAGTTATTCCCAGGAGAATTTTTGCTTTCTGTTCAGAATAAGTAAGGTATATATAAGTATAAAGTTTCATTTCAGGATGCTGATTGTATTTTGCTTGCCAGTCATTATAGTTGCAACTTTATTAAGTATAGTTGTTTAGAACTTAGTAAACCCAAAGTTTAAAATATGTAGAAAGAGACCTGATTTATGCATAGAATACTAGATAATAATACATGACACATTATTATATCCATCCTCCTAACCTTGCTACACACACACACACACACACACACACACAAAGAAAACAACTGAAACATGTTCTATAAGAGGAGTAATTGATTCCAATCCAAACTTGGCTTATCTGTCTGTATTGATTAAGCAATCTCAATGAAATCAATGGCTTATATCTGGGATGGAAGCTCGGACACACAGAAAAAAGACATAATGAGAAACAGTTGCGAAAAATTCCTACAATAATACATTGTATATGTGCATGTGTTGATGTGTTTGTGTTTGTGTTACTGTCATTAGCAAATAACCATTTAGATGTACATTGGTTGGTGAAACACCAACTACTGGGGCTCATAAATATTCTCCTGACATTCAGTAGGCTGAAAATAGCAGTCTGCTTTCACTGAAGATAGCATCCTCTCTCAGGTGACCAAATAACCGCAGATGGTGAGAGCAGAAGCGTCTGTGGGAGGGATGCTCACCCAGAGGGCTATGGAAGTAGTCTCAGTCCCACACTTGGCAATGCCGAATTTACAAAACTGTAAATGATGACTCAGAGAATTTAGGTATTTTTTTAAACTATGTTTTATTCCTATAATAAATCTCAAATCAATAGAGTACAATTAGTAGCACTCTACTGTGGGAATTTATACATCAAGATGTCAAGAAGCACTGTCTCATAAATGTCATTATTGTAGCAGCAGATGTAGTGTGTTATCTTATAAAGTGGTACTGTATATTATGTTTATAATACATTTCTAAGCTGTATTAATCAGGGAAGGCTGAACCTTGAGAAAACTAATGTTGAACGGTGTCTAAAATGGAGACAGATCAATTTATTAATAATGTTTTGATAAATCCACGTGTAATAATTTTCATAGTTGTCTATTATAAGAGTATGCTAGTAATGCATAGTGGAGAGGCTCACTTTGAGAAATTGATACATGCATTTATGACGTCTTTCTCATTTTCAGTTTCAGGACCTTTCCTTTCTTTCCCGCCCTCTCCACCTTATCCCCTTTCCCCTCTCCAAGAGCCTATCTCCTACTTTCCATCATCTCCCGTCTCTATCTATCTATCTATCTATCTAGCATCTATCTATCCATCGCCTACGTAGCTCACAGAGTAATCCTTCAATACTTAAGCTTTTGAGCCTGGCTCATTTCTCCTCACACGCTGGTCCCTCACTGCATGCGTTTTTCTGCAGAAGACATGATTTCATTCTTCTCCGAGGCAGAGTACTAGACAGGGTGTGTGCACCACATTTTAACCATGCATGTATTCATGGGAATACAGCTTCCACAGCTTAGACACTGTGAACTGCCCTGCTATAAACTTGGATAATCGAGCATCACTACAGTATTCTGTTCTTAATTCTTTCCAAAATATGCCCAGAGGAGGTGGAACTGAGTCAAATATTCAGGATGGTTTAACTTTTTAAAGACTCTCCACGATGATTTAGATAGGGAGGTACTTCTCGCCAGCAATCTAGGAGGGTTCTTTCTTCCCCGTATACAAAGCAGCCTTTGTGTTTGTTTTTGTTGTTGTTGTTGTTGTTGTTGTTTTGGTTTGGTTTGGGGTTTTTTTATTCCTAATGGTAGCTATTTTGATGAGGTCACATGGAAACTGAAAATAGCTTTGATTTGCAATTCTCTGACAATTAAAGAAGTTAAACATTTTTCTATTTGTACATCTTTTAGGGGGGGAGGAGGGACTGAACTCAGGACCTTGTGCTTGTCAGGCAGGCATGGTGCCACGGAGCTAAGTCCCCCGGACCTACACACCTTTGGAGAAGTGTCTATTCAGTTCATTTTGCAACTGGGTGGATTTTTTCCTGGCATTAATTGTTTTGAGATCTTCATATATTCTCAAGAGTACTCTTCTCTCAGAAGAGTAGCTGGCAAAACTTTTCTCCCATTCTGTAAGTTTTCTCTTCCCTCTGTTATTTCTTTTGCTGTGCAGAAATTTCTTAACTTTGGTTTAGCCCTATTTGTTGATTCTTGATATCTCCTGTGCTACTGGAGTCCTATTAAGAAAGACTTTTCCTGTCTATTACTTCACATGTTTTATCTTCCAAGAATTTTAAAGTTTCTGGTTTTATATATAGATACTTGATCCATTTTCATTTGACTTTAGTATATGATGAAAACGGAGGTTTAGTTTAAATTTTCTGCATGGGAAATATCAGTTTTCCTAGAAGTGTCTGTCAGAGGCATTATCTGTTCTGCAGTGCATATTATTTTTTTGTCCATTTGCAAAAATCAGATGTTTGTAGGTGCGTTTATTTATGTTTTCTCCTCTGTCCCTTGCTCTACTCGCCTGTCTTTGTACCAATGCTCTGTTGTTCCTCTTATTGTGGCTTTGTAGTGTAGTATAACATGAAATCTGGTTTTGTGATGCTCCAGTATTATTTGGCCTACTCAGGATTGCTGTGTCTCTTCTGTACCTTCTTTGATTCCATGTGAATTTGGGGATTTTTTTGGAAATTCTGTGAAAAATGTTGTTGCCGTGTTCATAGAAATTTCTTTGGGTTTGTAGGTTGATATTGAAAACATGGCCATTTTCACTAATTCTGGAACAAAGGATGTGTTTCCATTTTATAATATCTTCTTTAATTTATTCAGTATTCTGAAGGTACTTAATTGTTTGGGTTCTTAGGTATTTAATTTTTTAGAAGCTACTGTAAATGGAATTGTATTTCTGATTTTTTACTCATTGGGCTCATTATTGCTATGCAGGGGATAATTATTTTCCATGTTGAATTTATTTCCTACAATTTGGCTGAATTTTTCATAAAATATATGAGTCTTTTGGCAGAGTTTCTTGGGTCTTCTATGCCTTGAGTCATATTACTTGTGAATAGATATGATTGAATTCTTCCTAATTCAAAAATGTATTTAGTTTTCCCTACAATATGATACTTTCTTTGAGTGTCACATATTGATTTTATCAGTTTAAAGTTAGATCCTTTAATATCTATTTTAATCAACATTTTATCATGAAGAGATGTTGGATTTTCTCAAAGACTTTCTGCATCTATAAAGAAGGTGATATGATTTTTATCCTTTGTTCATTTAATAATTATTGACTTATGTATGTGTAACTATCCATACATCCATAGGATGAAACCTATGTGGCTTTTTCTTCTTGCTTGCTTGATTTTTTGCTTGATTTCTTGTTTGTTTCCTTCTTTGCTTATGTTCTTACTTGTTTTGGTATCAAAGTAGTGTTGGCTCCATAAAATTAATTTAGAAGATTTCCTTCCCTTTTACTCACCTGGTTAATTTTGAAAAAACATTGGTATTATTTCCTCTCTAAAGCTCTGGCAGAAACAAAATAAAGCTTTAATTTAATCAGTTTTTCTTAGCTGGTAGAATGTTTACTATGGTATCAATTTTATTCCTTGATATTGGTCCTTTTGGATCATTTTTAATCTTGTTGATGCAAATTGTGCAGGGCATATGTGTATACAAATCTAACCATTTTTTCTTGACTGTTTGATTAACTGGAGTATATGCTTTCAAATATTTTCAAGTAATTGTCCAGACTTCAGTTGTGCCTCTTGTAGTTGTGTCTCATTTTAGTTTGGGAAATTTTCTGCAATAATTTCAATGAATACATCTTTTATGTAGGAGAACTTGACAAAAGAAGGTTGGGCACTGCAAGAATTACAAGTAATAAGTAGCACTCATTTACAGTTAAATAAACATATATCCCACCACAAAAACAAAGCAGTAAAATAAGTAAAATGGGTTTTAAAGATAATATTTATGTACAAGAAAAGAAAGGAAAGGCATATTTGAAAGGTGAAGGACAGAATGAAGAGATGAGGAGAGAATATAAATAGAAAATAGGAGACGATACAGAGACATTGACAACTAGTGATGAACTAGCATGAACAGACATTTAGCAAACCCTATCAACAACCCTTGCTGTGAAGAACTTGACAGGGCACGATAAGACTCTGTAGAACCAGAAATAGTATCTAGAAGTTGTGAGCACTTTTGTATGCACCTACGCCCCCAGGAAAATACAAAGAGAAACACTAGAAGCAAAAGTATAAATAAGTAAAAACCCAGCTATTCCTTTTCTAGATAGCTCTCCAAAAGAGATGAAGGTGTATCATTACAGTGCTCCATCCACATACTTGTTAGCAGCAGCACAACTCGTAATAGCTGAATCTTGGAAGCAACCTATGTGTCCATCAACAGACAAAAGGATAAAGAAAATGTATTTAAACACCATGGAGTACTACTTTGCAGATAAATGAATTATTTGTAGATAAATGGATGCACTTTGTGAACATAATACTAAGTGAAATAAATCAGACACACACACACTTATCACATGATTTCATTTATATGATAAACTCAAGGTATAAGTAAAGAGCAAAATAAAGGATACATAATAGGAAATAGGGAGATAAATCTTTCTCAGATGAGAAGGGGAACAAGTGATGGAAGCAGGGGAAGGGAGGAGAAGAAAATGGATGAAAACAGGAATTAAGATGTGTTATGTACACATAGCAACATCCCACAAGGAATAACTTCTTGAAATTATAGAAAATGTAGGGATTTTTTGAGCCTAAGTAGGAATCAGGAATCTGTGTTTGCACACCAGTTCTGCAGCTCATGTCCTGCTTGCTCTATAGAAGATGGAGCAGGGAGGGGGGATCCAAAGGTGGCCTGTCTAAATTTGTAGAGGAAAGATGGGAATTATCGCTCTTGCCAGTGTTTACTACTGATCTGCTGTCTACTCAAGCTGTATCTCTTTCCATCAGCAGAGTCAGCTCTCACAAAAATATGTTGAGATTTTTCCTTTTACCACTGAACCTTAGTGAAAACAATTCTCCCCTGTTGAGTCCCAGTTCATTCAGTGCCAGAATAACTTGCTTTAGTTCATTTACTTATATTTAGAAATATCAAGACCTCAAAGTTCCCAGCCTTCTCACTTTGTTCTATTTCCTTATGTCCTATTTCCCAATGTTCTATTTCCCTGAAGAACAGCAATTGACTCCTTTCTTTCTCTAAGGAAAGAGATTGTTGAATTGACGACAGATTGAAACATAAAGGGTGATGAGCACCTAAATTCAAGATGATCTTGTGTGAACCAAAGAAAGCCTACAAAGTTAGTGGCCAGTTTTTAAATTTTTACATTCTGCAGTGACTTTTGAGTACAGGTTACCTGGAGCTCTCTCTTCTAATGATACCTTGTAATAATACTTTAAGTTTGGAACTAGGATCTTTCTTGTACTTTCTTTCAATGAAACTTCTATAAGTTTGCAAACAACTCATAGTTAGGAAAAGTAAATCCTGCATATAACAACCCCATCCCCCTGAGAAAAACTGCCCCTTGTTGCCTGTTTATTTCTGTAGTGATTTGATTCCACGGTTGTACTTGTAATCATGAGTTGCCTATTTTAGATATGTTTAACAAACATGTTTTTTCTTAAACTAGGTGATTCTACATGTCAAATTATTTTTTGTTGCTGAGACAAAATACCTGACACCCACAAGTTAATGGAGGAAAGTTTCATTTAACTCACAGTTTGTAGAAGTTTCAGTCCACACTCAGCAGGCTCTAAGGTAGGGTGGTATGGCGGAGGGGCACACCAGAGGAGAAACACTCCATGGCAGGGTAAGGCAGGCAGAAGCTCGCAAGCATCAAACAAAGGCAGCAGCACAAACAGCAAAATAGCAGCAATGGCAGGAACCGCAGGAGATGCTTCTTTCTGTCCCTTTCTGTTCCATCCACGCTATCAGCCCTTTGAGTTGTGCCACCCACACCCAGAGTGAGGTATCCTTAACCCCAGCATCAAACCCCAGATCCAGCCAGCTCCGAAGAGCCTCGCCTATGAGTACGTGAAGCTTTGGGTGGATATCTGATCACAAGCCACAACACTGTATAGTATCTTTCCACACCTCTTTTCATTTTATCCCCCTGAGATGCTGCACCTCTTTAATAGAAAGAATTTGTGTCTGCAGGAAATGGAAGAATTTGTCCAGAGTTCAGGTGAAGACGGTGTTGTGGTGTTTTCTCTGGGATCAATGGTGCAAAACCTCACTGAAGAGAAGGCCAATCTCATTGCCTTAGGCCTCGCTCAGATTCCACAGAAGGTCAGTGCAACCTCTGGTCCTGGTGAGCAGCTTTTCAGTAACTGCTTAGACTGTAGCAAATAGTACGCTTTCCTTGTAGACATTAAAACTCTCTACACATGGATTATAACTGTCATAATCTTTATAAATAGAAATGTGTCTAACTTTAAAATGGCCAGTTTAATCGTGTGATCATTTGCCACACCGATCTTATCACACTGGCTTTAGTATGGAAACTGACTTTTGTGATCACTTGATTTTAATGGAATAGAGATGAACATATTAGGTCATTCTAAAAATTTTATTGGCACCAACTATTCCTCGATGTTCTGAAAGACGTTAGTGTTGTGTTCCAGGAAAAGAAAGAAATAATACATTGACTAGAGGAGAAATACTCAAAACTATACTCAAAATCTCTGAGGAGTTTTATATTCTATCAAAGTAAAAATCAATTTAAAAGTAGAAGTCTACCAATAAACTCAATTAAAGCTGAAAAAAATTTAAAAAAATAAAAAATAAAAGTAAAAGTCTAGATTTACTTACTTTTTCTTCGTTGAATATTCTAAAGTTAAAAGGAGTTAAAAATTCTAATATAACTGTCAAATAATGTGGTTTTTTTTTTACAATTTATGCTATTTAATCAACTTGAATTTATGTTCTGTGAATCATTCTACCTGTATATTTGTTAAATTCTATACATTGTATACAGGTAAGTATTATATTGTGTATGTCAAAATTTAGGAGATTTAGTCACATGCTTGTTATTTTAAATTTTTCTGCCTTTTACTATTTAATGTAAAGATTGCCTTACTTCCCCAAGAGAAAAAACTGTAAAAACTCATTAGACTCTAGGCAAAACACCTTATTAAAATGGAAGATAAGCAAACTGCCTAATTCTGCCCAATTTAAAAAAAAAAGGAAGGAGAGATATAGGAGAATGAAAGCAGGCAAGAAGCAGGCAAGCAAGCAGGGAAGGAAGGACAGAAGGAGGAAAGGAGAGGGAGAAACAAAGAAAGAGATAATGGAGAGAAGAAAGGGAGGAGGGAGGGAGGCAGAACGACAGAGAGAAATGGAAAAAGAAACAGGGAAAAAGAAAAGGGATAGGAGGAGGGAAGAAAATACCATCCTAAAAAAGTCACAAAACTTAAAGGTGAAAAATGTTGGAAAAATATTCCATTTGTTAGCAAAGATGACTAAAATACATTTAGCAAATAAATTGCATAGCAATCATATTTTTCTTCATGTCTTAAGTCCCCATATGCTGTTTTGCTTTTCTTTTTTATTTTCTATTTTTCACTTATGACCTCATTCCTAATAGCTTTTGCATGATAAATAGCAAACTAATAATAGGATATGGAATTACTGATATCTATCAAAATAATAGTGCTGTCCTTAGTAAAATATTAGTACAGCCATTTCAAATAAGTAGATGTGGACAGTCCGAGTATGTATCTCAATGTTTGCAAATCACTGCTAATATATCTTCCGCTCTATTATCGCCAGAGGTGCGATGGCTGTGTGATTTCTAAATAATTCTCGGGATTAGCACACACAGCATTTCTGCTTTTACTTGCAAAATGACAGCACTGTCTTCGATAGGTTTTGTGGAGATACAAAGGAAAGAAGCCAGCCACATTGGGATCCAATACTCGGCTTTTTGATTGGATTCCGCAGAACGACCTTCTCGGTGAGACCATGGGAGGAGAAGACAGCAGACAAGTTCCATAACTGTTTAAAAGCAAATGCATTAAACACTCCTCATAACTTGAATATTTCACATTTTACTTCCAACTTTACAACAGATTTAGTTAAATAACTGGACATTAATTGTCTTGACGTATGCTTTCTTTGGTTCGCACAAGAGCGTCTGCAGTTAAGATGCTCGTCGCCCTGCAGGATTTAATCTTTTTTTTCTCAATGAGTTTATTGGTACATTTTAGGCATACAGTACAGTTACAGTCATCATTGGGACCTTGTAGCTTTACATGACAGGTCTTGGTTCTCATTTTTTCCCTTTGTCCCTGCCCTCCCTTCACCCCGTCCTACCCTCAACATTTACAAACACTTTATTTCCATTTTTTTCATTTTCTCCTATTTTTTTCTTTTCCCTTATTACCTTTCCCCTACCCTTTCCTCTACCCTACACCTTTATCCCTTTTCTTTCTATTTCACATTGTCAATTATGTCATTAGGATCTTATGTACTAGTATAGCTTTTCACACCAGAGAAACTATTTGGTATTTACACATGCGTGACTTATTTATTTCACTTAGGAGTATATCTTCAATATATACCCATTTTCCTATGAATGAATCTCATTTCTCATTTTTATGACTGAATAGTATTCCATTTTATAGAAAACCATATCTTCTTTATCTAGTCTCCAACTGATGGGCAAATGGGCTGTTTCCAAGTTCTAGCTATTACAAACTGTGCCACTATAAACATAGATGTGCATAAATCACTGTGATGATTCTTTTAATTCTTTTGGAAAGATACCCAGCAGAGGGATGTCTGGGTCAAATGGAACCTCTAGTCCCAGTTCTTTGAGGTATCTCCATATTGATTTCCATAGTGGTTGCACCAGTCTGCACTCCCACCAACACTGGAGAAGGGTTCCTTTCTCCCCACAACCCAGCCAACATTTGTTATTGGTTGATCTCTTGATAGCTGTCATTCCTTGTGGGGTGAAGTGGAATCTCAGTGTTGTTTTCATCTACATCTCTTGAATGACCAGTGATGTGGAACATTTTTTCATATACTGCTGCTTTTACTTCTTTGTCTGAGAAATGTCTGTTCATGCGAGGCCTCCTTTACGGAGTGGAAAGAGTTAAGTACTGCCTTTGCTGGGATTACACTTTTCAGGGTAGCAATATGTTCAGCTTCTATAGAAAATATCACCTTCTTTGCTGTCTTATTGAAAGTTTTTTGTCTTTTCTGTCTCTGAAATTCTTCTAAAGTGTTACGTCTTTATCCATACCCCCTTTTCACTCTATTCCTAGGTCACCCCAAAACCAAAGCCTTCATCACTCATGGGGGAACTAATGGGATCTATGAAGCTATTTACCATGGGATCCCCATGGTAGGAGTCCCCATGTTTGCAGATCAACCTGACAACATTGCTCACATGAAGGCCAAAGGAGCAGCTGTGGAGGTCAACATGAACACAATGACCAGTGCAGACCTTATCAATGCCTTGAGGACAGTCATCACTGATCCATCGTAAGTACTGCTGCCTGTAATGACTGATCTTCCATTAACTGTATTTTGCAGCATACTGGAAAATCTGCAATATTTCGTACCTTTGTAATTGGACTGTTTCCAAATAAAGTAAAAATAATGTAATATGACTGCTAGAGAGTCACTTATTTAACCTCAACTGCTAAAGTGATTTTCTAATATTGAAGGATTTAAAAAAAATCAAACAGACTAAAAAAACTTTAAATGCTATATTGATTATATGATATTTTATATTAATTTTTCTGAATAATCTAATTTTATAAATAAATATTAAAATGTTAAGCAATAATGTGCCTGATTTTGATCATTCTAAAATAACTATAATTTTCAGCATTAGATGTTATTAATACTGTTTTTAAATAATAGTTGTTTCTGAACAATTGTCATATATTTCAGGATACTATAGAAATCATGTTTTCAGCAGAGGACTACTGTATCAGGAGTTTCTGTAATTCTTAATATGATATTTTATTTTTCAAATATATTAATATTGGTGTTGAATTGACTGTCTAGTTATCGTGTTTCTTTTTTACATACGAAAGTAGGTAATGTCCATGATTTCTTTAACTCTTGTGCATAAAATATTCATTGAATTTTATTATTCATTTAAAAACTATTGGTGCAAGAAAACATAACCACTTAAAAGTTCTAAGTATACTAAAAATTATTCAAAATCCTGTGAAGTTGTTGCTCCGAAACTGAATAGGGCATATTCAGGAGGTATTCTTTTCTTTAACCTTGAACTCTCTCAGATGCTCCTCCAGCTCTTGAAGCTGGCAGGCAGTCAGATCTCTTGGTGAAGCTGAATTGACCCTTGGAAAGATGTCTAAGAAATTCAAAGTGTATAGACACCGAATCTCTTTGAGTTGTTGCTTGTGAAAAGATTTGGCAAAGACGTGTGGACCTCCACTTCTTAAATCATGATGGAAATATTAATGAAGCTGCCATCATTGCTGCAGTTGTTGCCTTATGTCAATTCTGAAGACCTGGTGTCTCTATCCAAGCAGAAGAAGTCACACTGAATACACCTGAAGAGTGTGATCCTGTAGTGCTGAGCATCCACCTCATGCCCATCTGTGTCAGCAAGGAATATACTCGTTGGTGGATCTCAGTGAATGAGAAGAATGTGTTGTGGATGGCTTGCTGGTGATTGTCAGGAAGAAGCATTAAGAGATTTGTACCATCCAGTCCAGGGCTAGAATAATGCTACTAAAAGATCAGGTTCTGAGATGCAGTAAAATAGCCGGTGTGAAGGTAGCAGAAATTACAGAGCTAATACAGAAAGCTTTGGAGAATGACCAGAATTATGTAGTTAGAATTAATCACTCCTTGGTAAAGAAACCAGGACAAAGACAAAGGAAGATCAGGACGTACTTGTTAATGATCATGTTGGAACCCAGTCTTTCTTTCTAGGTTGGTTGGAATCAGGGGATTGCCTGTTAAAATAATTGCTGGCTTTAGGCCCATTGTTTCATATGCACTTGCAAACCTTAGCCATATTTCTTTCTCTCAATCCCAAGCATGTCATGCGAGCACCAGGACATCTCTTCCCAAACCCTGTACCTTCTCTCATATGGATGAATCCAGTAGGTATCTCTTACTAAAGTTACAAACAAAAGCGAAAGCTCCTCCTATTTTTAGCACAGTTATCAGGAAACTTGAAGTGAAAACATATCTTGCTTTTAATTACATAGACTTCTACCCCATGTTATCTGAGAAATATTTAGAGATCTTAACTCTATCATTATTGCTACTGTTATTTCTAATTGATAAGGACTATAATTCTGGAAAGAAATTTGTATTTAGTTTATCAAATTAGAGTCCACATACTTGGCTATTCCATTTTTGTTAATTATCCTAGTATTTTCACTCAGGGGTGATCTTACTGATACAGATATGTTTTTTTTTTAATTGCAAATATAAAAATGTATATAGAGGAGCAATTATCACAGTACAACGATCTCAGAACTGTAAAATGACTCATTAATATTCAATATAAGTTCTGTTTATCTGTAAAGTGAACTAGTCAGATGTTCGTGGCCATGTTGTGGATACTTTAAATTATATAATCTTTCATCATTGTGGTTCTGGATATTACAGTTCACATGACATCAACCTTTAACAGGAAAATTAGGCCATACTTTCACAACTGGATATGAATTTTCCTATATGCTTATTTGACCACATTGTGTTAAGAACACATTTCTTCTACATGTTCCTCTTTTTAACCCTTACAATCCTAAACAGTTAGCAAAGTTAATGCAATAATTCAACCTTTTCAGAATGTGTGCTTAACTTTGACCTGTGTGATACATAACCTATGTCACATACTTCCATTCAAGCAAAAACCATTTTTTTTTCTGTTTTACCCTCCTAGTTACAAAGAGAATGCCATGAGGTTAAAAAGAATTCACCATGACCAGCCAGTGAAGCCCCTGGACAGAGCAGTCTTCTGGATCGAGTTTGTCATGCGCCACAAAGGGGCCAAGCACCTTCGTGTTGCGGCCCACGACTTGTCCTGGTTTCAGTACCACTCTTTGGATGTGATTGGGTTCCTGCTGGCTTGTGTAGCAAGTGTCGTATTCTTGGTCACAAAGTGTTTCTTGTTTACCTATCAAAAGTTTATTAAGAGTGGAAAAAGGATAAAGAAGGAGTAGATCTTTCTAAATTGGGGAAAGACTTGAATTAGGCAATCCCATTGAATCCAGCCAACCTAGAAAGAAAGACTGGGTTCCAACATTATCGTTAACTAGTATGTCCTGATCTTCTTTTGTCTTTTTGCCCTGGTTTCCTTACCAAGGAGCTATTAATTCTAAATACATTCAATTCATAATATCATTAATTGTTAACTTTAAATGATATGATAAGAATATTTGGAGTCCAGGGAAAGACCCCCAGTGTACTTGGAATTTGATGAATGGAGGGAACTTGCAAGAGTCAGATTTCCACTATTCCAAAGACCACTTAGTCAACAATCCATCATCACAGGGGACTGATTGATGAAGGGAAGAGAAATGACTTTCTTTTCCAATAAAAATAAACTCTTTGGCTTGCCAAATGTTATAGGAATTAGAGCAAGAATTTACACAGTAATAATGCATCACAGTATGAAAGGTCTGTCTCCGTAATTTTTATTGAGCCCATTTAGATAACCATGATCCACTTACTTTCCTAGTCTTTTTCACAAATATTATTATATACTCTCTAGTGAGGCACAGATTTTGGGTCATTAAATTTCAAAAAGCAAATAAATAGAGTTTATTTTTTCAAATACAATTTGTAAAGGAAACAACAAAAAGAAATGTTCAAGAATATGGAATTTTGTGAAATTTCTAATTTACAAAAAGATCGATCACCTTAGTGTTAATTCATTATATTTAAAAATCAGTACAGTGTAATTTATAATTGATTTTTACAATAAAAATTTAAATGTTGATATCATGGCATGATTTTTCCAATCTCCCCCCACCATTCTTCTCTTTCTTCTTCTGTATTGGGAATCAAACTCAGGACCATGCTTGCCAGGCAGGCATGGCACCACTGAGCTAAATTTCTGGTCTGTCTATCTATCTATCGATCTATCTATCTATCTATCTATCTATCTATCTATTCTTTTTTTTTTTTTTTTTTTGCCAGGTATTGAACTCAGGACCTTGTGCTTGTGAGGCAGGCATGGTGCCACTGAGCCACTAAATCTCTGGCACTACATTTTTGAATATATACAAATAAATCCTTACAACATTAATTTTGTGAAAATGCTTTTGCTTACTATTTCAAAAATTTTAAAAATTTAATCATATCAGCCTGCTTTGGCTTTACAGTTTCCCCATATTTTGAGAGCAGCTGTCTATATTTGCTTCTGGCCAGTTTGTTTTCTTTTCTTTTTTTCTTTTTTTTTCTCATTGAGTTTATTGGTACATTTTAGGTATACAGTACAGTTACATTCATCATTGGGATCTTGCACCTTTACATGACAGGTCTTGGTTCTCATTTTTCCCCATACTCTTGCCCTCCCTTCACTCCCTCCTCCCTTCCCTATTTACAAATACTTTATTTCCATTTTTTCATTTCCTCATGTTTTTTTTCTCCTTGTTTCCTTTCCCCTATCCTTCCCACTTCGCCTATTTGCTGGATGGGAGCAAAGGGCTAAAATCCAGTGTAGGAGGACTGACCACACATGGGTTTGAAAACTTTCTCTTCCTTCTTCTCTGGAAGCCTTTCCTGTGCACAGGGTGCTTTAACATGTTGGGTGATCCCAAATGCATCAATTCTAAAACAATATGATCACATCAATGTCTTGATGGCTTCTAAGAACTTTTCACTGAGCTTTACTATTGAACATGAGAGAATTAAGATTAATTCAAGTAATCTGCTGGATATTAGACATAATTTTCCAACATCTGATGTATTTCACTAAGTTGGGTTAGTCATTAAATAGACAAAAGTGCTTCCATAACTGAATTCAGAAACAAGGAAGCTGAAAAGTATAAACAGCACATTCATAACTTCCAGTGTGAGTAAGTCATCATCACATGCATGGATGGAATCATTTCTATCTTAAGAACTACATCTCCATACTACGTGACTCTAAATTGCAATATGGTCAAACACATGTTTTGAAAGGAAAAGGTACAGCACACTTGTTAGGGACCTCATTTTGAGTTTTAACTCCTTGAGTGCTAAGCTCATATTCAAGCGATTTTTTTAAACCAGCATAGTATATCATGCTACAGTTTAAAGAATACAAAATATTCCATATCACTGGTCATTCGACAGATGCAGATGAAAACAACACTGAGAATCCACCTCACCCCACAAAGAATGGCTGCTATCAAGAAATCACACAATAACAAATGTTGGCGGGGTTGTGGGGAGAAAGGAACCCTTCTCCACTGCTGGTGGGAGTGCAGACTAGTGTAACCACTATGGAAATCAATATGGAGATACCTCAAAGAGCTTGGACTGGAGGTTCCATTTGACCCAGCCATCCCTCTGCTGGGTATCTTTCCAAAAGAATTAAAAGAATCATATCACAGAGATATATGTTCACCTATGTTTATAGTGGCACAGTTTGTAATAGCTAAAACTTGGAAACAGCCCATTTGCCCATCAGTTGGAAACTGGATAAAGAAGATGTGGTTTTTCTATACAATGGAATATTACTCAGCCATAAAGAAAGAGAAAATAGATTCATTCATAGGAAAATGGATACATATTGAAGATATACTCCTAAGTGAAATAAATAAGTCACACATGTGTAAATACCAAATAGTTTCCCTGGTGTGAATAATCTGCAACAATGCATAAGATTCTAATAAGATTACTGACATTTAGAAATGGGAAGAAAGGAGCTAAAGTTGCAGGGAAGGTGTTATGGGTAGGGGAAGAACAAAAAGGGAAAAGAAAAAAATGTGAGAGAATGAAAAGATGAAAATAAAGTGTTTGTAGATGGGGAGGGGAGGAGGGGGTGAGGGGAGGGCAGAGGTAAGGGGAAAAAATGAGAATCAAGACTTTCCATGTAGAGCTACATGATCCCAACAATGAATGTAACTGTACTGTATCCCTAAAATGTACCAATAAACTCAATAAAATTAATAAATAAATTTAAAAAAAGAAAAAGAATACACTAAATCCTCTAAGATACCACCTTAAATACTGAAGGTATGGCCTCCTAACCAAAGTATTAAATAGCTGGCTTTAGCTAATGAGTACCTGGAAAAATCAGCAAATTTCATGGATGTTAAATTTTATTGCATTCACTGTGGTGCATGAATATGATTTATGGATACTCACCTGTGCAAGATTCATGTCATTAATATTTCCTTGCAGTTTTCTCACCAAATTGCAGTGCTTTCTACTCAGTGGCTAATATCAATACTGTTCAATGACTGTTTTTTCCCCTCATAACATCAAATTTGCATGTGTTTTCAAAGTCCTGAAATGCTTTAGGATTTTCTTCAAAAATACCCATTGAGTTCATCATGAGCTTTGTACTGGGCCTCTGCAGTTTTTCCAAACTGTATATTAATTAGTTTTTTTCTTTCTGCTGTATTTCTTTATATTTATTTGCACAGCGACACCATAAAATAATATTTTAAACATTAAATTATATTTACCTTCAGTTTCAAAGTCCACATTGATATCTTCTCCTCAAGAAGGTTTAAAGTGATGAAATTCTAGCTAACCTGGTCCACTGCCCCATCCCTCTTCCTTCTAGTGTATGGACCCTCTCCTATCCCACCAATCAGAAAGCCCTCACTCTCAGGCTCTTTTTATATCAAGTGCCATGCTCTGGGATACTTTCCTACCTATTTTCTAATCCTTCGGCTTTCTGATTGAATTTCACCTTACAAAATTATTTTTCTCATGCTGCGTAATTCCTTCCCCAAATTAAATACCCTGCTTATCTTGTTTATTTTTATAGATCAGTGTTACATAATCAAAGGTCATGATGAAAAAAAGGCTCTCATATACCTTTCTTGTCACTGATTCCTTTTATCTGGGCACAGAGAAAGATATCTGAATCACAAAATAAATGAATACTCTTATTTTCTAGATGAACACACTTCCATATCTAAGAAAGAGACATGGAGAGCAAGTAGAAGATAAATGAAAACCTGTGGAATATAATACATTAGAATAAGCACTTAAGTACATGAAGTAAATTGTGACTGAACTCTGTATCATAAAACGGTGCCTGATAACATTTTATTTCTGATACAGAGGCATTTTCTGCTGACCCTGGCCTGAACTGTAATAGAAACATAAAGTGAAGATTAAGATATAAAAAACTCCGTAGGATTTTTGTTTTTGTTTTTGTTTTTAAGACAGGGTCTCACTATGTAGTTGAGACTGACCTGGAACTCACTATGCAACCCAGGCTGGTCTTGAACTCACAGTGATCCACCTGCCTCAGCCTCCCAGTTCTGGGATTACAGGCATGAGCCACCACGCCTGGCCCTCCATGAGATTTTTTAATGAAAAATGTTAGCTACAGTAATTTATTACAACATTATAGAAGGAAGACATTTTTCTAGACACATTTTACAGATAATGAAATGGAGAGGATTTTTCCAGAATTATAGTGCTGCTTAGGGTTTGAATAACCACAAAGTGTCATAGACCAGAGTCTATAATGTGCAATAACAGATTGGATATCTCTGATTTATGAATCTGTAGGATTTTACAAGGGAAGGAGACATTACAGGAGTTTGTGAAAGTATCCCTAAAGGTAGTGGTAAAACATAAGACAAAGGATTAGTGGAAAGCAGGCCTTAAAAATTGATTTTGAGTAGAAACTCATTCAGATAATAGTCAAATGCAGAAGAAAAGATGTTTATACTTGTAGATAAGTTTATAGCACTGAAGAAGTGAACTCTTTCATTTCATGCCCATACAAGACAGAACATAGATGCTGTACATATTTCTTTCAAGTTCTATGTAATCATATGTGTTTTAAGTTCCTGTTCATATTACCTAAGATATTAATCGACTCAAAACTCTATATTCCAGGGGCTGGGGATTTGGCTCAGAGGTTCTGATGCTTGCCTTGCAATTTCAAGTTCCCGACTTTGATCCCGGGTACCAACAAACAAACAAACAAACAAACAAAATCACAAGACTATATTCCTCTCTGTCATCACACTCCACTTGATGG